TCTGATATTCAAATGACGATTGTTGTCGGCCGCCACATTTATCAACGTGCGATCATTCGTACGATGAGATTGGCGGCATACGAATGTTTCATGAATCACACGTGAACTCTGTCATAAGTTGATTTGTGCGCACGGATCTGCGCTCGTTTCTACGTTAGGTTGATAGATGAGGCCCACTGTGTGGTACTGCAAATTACTGTAGTGGTACCATAGTAAAATAATGAAATCATATAAGAAATACTATGATGTGCACCTAGATACAAAGATACTTCAAAGATACTACACAGCATGGCAAACATGGTAATTGAATTGCACTTTTTAGTTAGTGGTATGAAGGAACTCTCGTAATGGCTAAACATTCATAAAATATTATTATCTTCAGACATACAATAATAATAAATTCAAACCATGCTAACAGCAAACACCTTATAAGGAATATTTTAAATCATAAACAACGCAATGGCAGATTTTGGTGGAACATAGTCCAAACAAAACTTGTCCACAGTCTAAACACAAACACGTTTCCAAACACACATACACACACACACACACTTGGCTGCATCGCTGTAAGGTAGAAACTCATTATACATTAAAATAAGCAACATCAAAATGTCCAGCAGTTTGAGCCCCTTGGGGTCTGAAAGATCACACGCACATATTCAGTCACACATATATACAACTACACTCAGACCGAAATAAATATATACCTATACACTCAAACACACATGCTGAGTGTCTTCCTTGGGGCGAGTGTTAGGTTCAGCCATCTGTACATAACCCAGGCCTCTGATTTATATTCCTACCTCAAAGCCACTTTTGATTTATTTAGCATGAAAAGGGTTTGTGCATGTGGCTTGTGCTTTGTGTAAGGTTCACTTGCAGGACCAGAGGACCAGTATTCTCTCTGCTTTTGAGCGGATGGGTGGGCACAATGCAAGCAGAGGCGGATTCTCATTAATTGAGATCAACCAGTGTGGTGTTGTGAAGCTCTCTCTTACTTTTCAGTACAAAAAAACTTGCAAAAGAGGGTATTTACAGGGTATAGTTTACCCCAAAATATCAATTCTGTCATTATTTCCTCCCCACATGATTTTCTTTTCTTCTATGGAAAACAAAATGAAAAAATTTAGTAGAATATTGATTCTCTTCCATAAAATAGACTTTATTCGTGAAAGTAGGTCGAATGTGTAAATCCTGTATAGATTATAAAATTGTTGTTTGTACATAATTATGGAAAGGAATGATTTTCGAAACAAAATCTTTTCTGCTCATGTTTCATGAATTCACATTGTTCACTGCAAATCTTCAGCTGTGGCAAAGCTTTATATTTGTGCCAGGATTAATATCACATAAGGTCAAACGCTTCCGATTGTGATGCTGCAACTTTGATTATATAGTAGTGCAAATGAGAAAATCCTCTCTCACACACACACACACACACAAAAGCTGTTTTCAGAATATATATACTAATATATATACTAATCATGCCTATATACTATATATATATATATAGGCATGATTTTATATGCCTTTTTTATTGTACTGTTGTATATCGCACTCTGTTTTTGTAAACTAAACATTCACCTCAACCTCTCTCTGCAGAAAGTGCACTTATCACAGTCATCACCCAAGTCTCTTCTTTCACTCTTTATCTCCTTTTCAACCACTTGCTTTTAATAGCTTATACTGTACCTTTCTCCTCTACTATAAACATACTCTAAATGTGGAGAATGGATTGAACACTAGCTGTGGAGTCAAGAGCCTTACTAAAGGATTATGGGAATGTGGAGGATCGGCCGGCTGCCAGACCTCCTTCTTGCTCAAATTTAGTGTTCAGAGGGTGGTTGGGAGGTATAGACGCCCTTATTAGGTAATTACACCCTTGCTGCAGCTCCAGCTGGTTAACGCACTAGCTGTGGAGTCAAGAGCCTTACTAAAGGATTATGGGAATGTGGAGGATCGGCCGGCTGCCAGACCTCCTTCTTGCTCAAATTTAGTGTTCAGAGGGTGGTTGGGAGGTATAGACGCCCTTATTAGGTAATTACAGCCTTGCTGCAGCTCCAGCTGGTTAACGGAGTGAGGTCAGTGGCCGATAAAAGGACCGCTCAAGCCCAAAGCCCGAACAATTTATTTCCTGTTGGCCAAACACCTCGGCACGTCACAGGAACAAGGTTTTTACTAGTGCTGTTAAACGATTAATCGCGATTAATAGCATCCAAAATAAAAGTTTTTGTTTACATAATATATGTGTGTATTCTGTACACATTTATTATGTATATATAAATACAAACACATGCATGTATATATTTAAGAAAAATGTTATGTTTATATAATTATATTAAATATATTTATATATATTATAAAATATAATAACATAAATATATAAATGTATATACATGTAAATATTTTCAAAATATAAACTGTATGTGTGTGAATTTATATATACATAATACATATACACAGTACACATACATATATTATGTAAACAAAAACTTTTATTTTGGATGCGATTAATCGCGATTAATCTTTTGACAGCACTAGTTTTTACTATGGGAGAGCAATTACATATGGGTCGTCAAAGCTCAGAATCACAAGCTGTGCAATTTTAAAGGAAAATGAGGACAGAGTTTGTAGAATTGTAGTGTTCGCCCTTCTCCATATTCAGTTACAATGAATGTATCTTTTTTTCTTTTTTTTTTGCTGTTTTAAAACAAATACT